GAGGGCTGAAAGCCCTATGAAGCGGTATATAAGTCTAACTATTGCTATTGCTATGAAGGTAAGAATTGCAGTTCAATTTATTGCAAGATGTAAATCCAAGGTGGCTCAACCATACGAAGATCACACAATTTGATGTGATGCATGCCTCTCAGTTGGCAGTTTCAGTTTCCATTTCACTACACAACTTGGTGACTTTATTTGGGGATAACTACCAAGATTCGAACCAAATAAACAGTTTCAGTTTCTCAAATTTAGATCAGAAGGCTGGCAGTCACAGAATTATTGCTAATAAGAGACAATCACTAATTACTGCAAAAAAGAATTCAGGTTATAATTGGATTTTATTTTTGGAATTCATGGTGTTCATTGAGGGTTTATTTATTTCGTTTTATAGTATCTGACTAATGGCTTCCATACTAGCATAAATCTGTATGTTGTTTCTCACTCATCATTCTAACCTTCTATTGCCAAAATAATTTGGATTTTAAACTCAGCCCAGTCCATGGAAGTATTTAACAATGTGTGTTTAAATCCCATTTCTAATCCATTCTACTCCATCCCAGTAATCAAACTGTGAACTATTTCTTCCACTCATCTTTACTTACTAACAATTATTTTCTTATTCAGTTTCTAAGCAGAGCAGTATCGCCTCCTGAGCCTCTTTCTCCTTCCTTGGAGAAGAAAGTATGAACAATAACTTGGCTGCACAACAATTGTGGGGTTTTTTGTTCCTGCACATTCATGCCCTTCTTTTCCTTTTTGTCTCCCTAATTCATTTCCATCCTTGTGGTGAAATGTAATTAACTGTGTTTTTTTTCTTGTATGGCCTTTTAATTTTGTGTAATGGAATAGATTATATATGGCAGGTTGGGCTAGTGCAGAAAAATATCTGATCACCAACCTGTTGATGATTTCTTTGGGGAACAGTACACTGGAAGGGTAAGAGCAAAGTATTGGATTTCTGAACATCTGGAAATATAATAGGACCTAATCATCACTGTCAACATAATTAAGAGAATTGCATCTACTTCAATATTACCAAGGATATCTAGTCCCTGAAATGATATTTTAAAATGCCCCACTCTTTCAAAATAAGCAGCAAATTTTGCATAGCAGAATTGGCAATTCAGATAGCCTGCATAAATATTGTTTTCTGACATTTAAATAGAAGTCAGGTTCATTTGCTACATTTAAGAATAATTCATAGTCCTGTAAACGAAGAAGGCTAAGTTCATGGGAAATCATATTAAAGATGGGTCATTATTGATGTCATCTTAAATGGAGAAATTGTGAATTTATAAGATTTAGACATTCTAATTTGAGAACTTTATAAAGCATTTGCTACTTACTATGATTCTCTGTTTTATCTGAATAGATGAATCATAGCTATGGGCCTTGCTCTGGCAGACAGGAAAAGGAAACTATTTTAAACTATGGTTTGCTATTATTATTTAGGGTTGCCAGCTGTATCAAATCATTTTTGTCCCTTATTTATTTCCTAATTCAATTTTTAACTTTTTTTGCTGATGTTATTCTATATTGGCATAGACACAGACTGTTATAAATGTAGGTTAAATAGACCCCAATTTTTGATTCTAGACACCTTTTCCTTATATACTTTTGCTTACAGTATATATAGTTTCTTAAAGACCAGACCTCAAATTCTGTTATGCACTTATTGAGTGAATAATTCCATTTGTCCTCTGGATTTACTACCGTACTTTTACCCCAAACATAAAATAAGTAAAATAAACATACCAAGTATATGTTCATAAATTATGAAATTAAAAAACATATCTATTCCAACAACTATAGTTTTCAGTTGTCCGTTACTGATTAGTGCACCATATCAAAAGACATTGGATCAAGTGAGATATTAGTGGACCAGTGGACCAAAGTTATCTTGAGTAATAACCGTAGAGTCAGAAATGAGTGTTAACTTAAAGACATTGGTTTTCTGCCCAGATGGACTTGCACTCAGAGCAGCATCAGTCCACAGTATAACATCTGTGAACAGATGGTACAGATACGAGACGATCATATCCGGTTTATCTCTGAACTTGCTCGCTACAGCAACAGTGAGGTAAGCTTCCATGGAGGCATGTATTGCGCAATCCATGTGTGAAAGAATAGATGTTGTGCGTGTTCTATGGGAAATTCGTTATTACTCTGTTTCTATGTTTGATTATGGTGTTGGAATGCAAATGGCTTCCCTCTTGGAGATTTAGATGATGAATGTCCAATTCTGTCTATTCCAACCAACAGCAGCTCTCCAGATAGTCAGAATAGAAAGATTTTCCTCATTCAAAAGTATATAACTTTCTCTGTTCTTCTGTGTCATAGATACAGTCTGCAGTCTAAATCTTATTTGCTGTTTTGCATAGAAAAGTATATAATGCAATATCCCAGGGCCATGAGCAGTCCTGGGGTGCCTTGTATGCTGCCTGCAATTTTTTTCAAAGGTTGCCTTTAAATTGTACGTTTTTAAATTTAGGGTAAAATATTAAAAATAATCTTTGTAATTCTGTTGAATTTACTTTTTTTCAATTAAACTTAAAATATTGGTTAAGCCAAATCAATTTTAGTCTTTGTCCAGATTC